ACTGTGGATAAAATCGATGGCATCAATGTTCTGCGCACGAACAAAAGAATCAGCCAGCTCAGTATTGATTCTGTACAAGCTGATCATGCCGGGGAATATACCTGTCACGCAAAAAATTCGGCAGGTGTTACCGCCCATTCAGCTACATTACATATTAACGGTATTCCAATATTTTATGTTTTAGTTACTTAAAATTTCAAAGATTCTTCCTTTTGTTTTACATATTCCCGTCCATAGATCTCACCAACTTCTTTTTCCATGACATGTATGAAAACTAAACTATTTTGTTGGATTTTTTATACAGAGGAACTCTATATTTAAATTTTTTTCTCTAGTATTGCCACACATAACCCCTTTTGAATTCGAAAGCGAGGCAAACACCGGCGACAGCGTACAACTGAATTGTCACGTCAGTAAAGGCGACACGCCTTTGAGTATCTCGTGGCTGTTAAACGGAAAGGAAATCAAAAACGTATTTGGCATTACCACAACATCCTTTGGAGAAAGAACGAACCTGCTTACTATAAACTCGGTTCAAGCGGAACACTCTGGTCTGTACATGTGCAAAGCTACAAACAAAGGCGCACACTGCCGAATTACTCATAAATGGTACTTGTGTTAACTTTGAGGAATCATTTCTTTGTTATTTAATGACCCTTATCTGAAATTACACCTTACGAATCTATTACTCCCAGATGATTTTTCTTATTCATTTCACAAAATTTTTGCTGCTCTGTACTATCATTTTGTTCTTACTTCAGTTGGGCCTCATATAACTCCGTTTGAATTCGAGGGAAAGGCAAACACCGGAGACAATCTGCAACTGACTTGTCATGTTAGTAAAGGCGACATTCCATTAAAAGTAAGATGGCTGTTAAACAACAAGGAGATAAAGAACACGTATGGAATAACGACGTTACCTATCGGCTCTAGAACGAATCTACTTACTATTAGTTCTGCACAATCCGAACACGCAGGTGTATACACTTGTAAAGCCACGAATAGAGGTGGCGCTGCCAACCACAGCGCAGAGTTATTTATTAACGGTACAACTAAGTTTATGTAAACTGTTTGTTAATCTCAGCTTTCTATCATTTGTTCTTTTTTTAAGTTCTACCCCATATCACGCCGTTTTCCTTTGAGGGCGAGGTGAATCGAGGCGATAGTGTTCAAGTTTCATGTTACGTTAACAAGGGTGATATGCCGGTTTCATTTTCTTGGATGTTAAACGGTGAAGCTGCGACGAAATACGCCGGGGTCAATGTGGGATTGTTTGGCAAGAAATCTTCAGTGTTAAGTATCGATTCTATCGATCAGCATCACGCTGGCAACTACACTTGTACGGTGTCGAATATGGCGGGGGTTTCTAGTTACACCACCGAATTGATAGTGAGGGGTATAACGATATATATATTAACTGTGCATGATGAACAAATTTTCCCGACCTACATGTTCCTTTATGTCTCTCCTCGAATCATAAAAAAATTGAGTTGGTACAAACAGTATAATTTACGTTCGTTTTGTTGCAAGTTTTACCAAAAATCCATCCGTTTACTTTCGGAGAAGAGGCTTCACCCGAAGGAGAAACCATTTCTGTACAATGCACTATTTCTAGTGGAGATTTACCTATAAAGTTTTCATGGTTCTTAAATGGCGAACCCCTACCCGATTATTTAGGAGTAAATGTTGGCCCCTTTGGTAAAAAGATGTCAATTTTAAACATAGATAGTACATCGGCGCAACATTCGGGAAACTATACTTGTCTTGCCTCAAATAATGCAGGACTGACGACATATACGGCTCAATTAAACGTTAAAGGTATAGTTCATTATAATTTCTTTGTACAGTTTTACCTCGCCTTCAACCCTTTATATTTGGTGACGAACCAGCATTCATGGGCGATTCAACTACGGTGCAGTGTAGTTTGGTTTCTGGCGACATGCCCGTTGAGTTTTCCTGGCTGCTGAACGGCGAACCCGTTAAAGAAATCGATGGGATTAACGTGGGATCCTTCGGAAAGAAAACTTCAGTTCTGAGCATAGATTCTGTGTACGAACTCCACGCTGGGAATTACACTTGCGTTGCGACGAATAAAGCTGGGGTCTCGACCTATACTACCGAGTTAGTTGTTAAGGGTATATAAATTTCGCAATCTGTCTTTTTAATTATTTATTCCTCTCCTATTCACCAAAGTCCCTTATTCGTTTCGGTTATTTAGAATATAATTTTTTTCCAAATCTCTTTGTTCTTCAGTCTTACCAAGGATCCAACCGTTTTCATTTGGGGACGAGGCTCTGTTTTTGGGAGAGTCCACTACTGTTCAGTGTAGCATAAATTCTGGAGATTTACCCATAAAGTTTTATTGGTTTTTAAATGGAGCACCACTTGGGAATATCGCGAGCATTAGCTTGTCGAGTGTTGGGAAGAAAACGTCAGTGTTGAGTATAGATTCAGTGTCTGAGATACACGCGGGAAACTACACGTGTTTGGTAGAAAACAAGGCTGGCAAAAGCTCGTATTCAAATGAATTGTTAGTTGAAGGTACCCGCATTTGTATATTAGCTATTTCCTACTTCCTTTTAGACCTTGCCAATACAAATTTTATTTTAACCAACCACATTGTCCCTGAAAAAATATCGAGAGATTTCATTAGGTACATTTCTTAGTCGAATTGAATTACAGTTGGTATTTGAATTTACGGTAATTTAAAAATGTATTTCTGGAGGTGTTCCTGACTTCATTGCTGGTTATTCTTATTTTATTTTTAACAGTATTGCCCAGAATTACTCCATTCTACTTTGAAGACAACCCTATACACTCAGGACGGTTCGTAGAAGTTCCTTGTACGGTTTCCGAAGGAGATTTACCTATTACGTTTGAGTGGCGACTAAATGGGAACAAGCTAGAAGACTTTCCAGAGATATCGTTGTCTGCAGTAGGCAAAAGGACCTCCTTTTTATCCATAGAAGCCGTTTCATATACTCATGCGGGAAACTATACTTGCACAGCAAGGAACAGAGCCGGACAAGCTTCGTTTTCATCCGAACTACAAGTTAATGGTTATTTAGGAATCATCTGTTATATTTTATTTTTGCTTCTTTTCTATTCACATCCATAACTTCCACACAACTCTCCCAAAGTTTTTATTCTTTAAGATTTTATAATTTTAATTTCAAAATTATCAGCCTTAGGCGTAACGTTATAATTAACGAGATCGTTGATGTTAATTGATTTTCAACATGTTACTGGCTACATTTTGATAAATTCAGAATAATAAAAAATTTTAATCTTTTCTCACTTCAGTTTCAATTGTTTTTAGTTGCTCCGCAAATTGCTCCCTTCGATTTTGGCAACGATCCGGTACATTCGGGCCAATCCGTACAAGTCCAGTGTTTCGTTTCCGAGGGTGATTTACCAGTTACGTTTGAGTGGCAGTTAAATGAAAAACCTTTAGAAGACTTTCCTGAAATTTCCACTGTAGTCGTAGGAAAAAGAAGTTCAATTTTGTCCGTAGATTCGGTATCTTACACACACGCAGGAAATTACACTTGCAAAGCGAAGAACCGAGCAGGAGAGGCGGCGTTTTCTTCAGAACTGCAAGTGAACGGTTAATTAATTTTTTCAGTTTTTTTGGTTTTGGCGTTTCACTAATCCCGACCCCACTTTTAATAATCTTTGTACCTTGCAGTTCCCCCCCAAATCGCGCCCTTCGATTTCGGCGAAGATCCCGTTAACTCCGGGGACATGGTTAACGTTTTTTGCACGGTGAATAAAGGAGACCTCCCCATAGGAATAAAATGGACATTTAATGGCAGAGTAATCGATAACGTGCAGGGAATAACGATAATTCGTACAAGTAAACGCATAACGCAACTGAGTATAGATTCCGTTCAAGACTTCCATCGTGGGGAGTACGTTTGCGCAGCGAAAAATAAAGCTGGAGTCGCCAAATATTCAGCTTTCTTGCAAGTTAACGGTATCACAAGGTGTCTTAGTTATAGTTTTGTAATTCAGTGTTTTTCGTTTCATTAACTTTTGTGTTTGTCTTAGTTTTGCCAAAAATTCTGCCCTTTGACTTTGGTAGCGAACCCACTTACATGGGAGAGTCGAATACGGTGCAATGTAGCCTGTCCGTCGGCGACATGCCCGTTAGATTTACCTGGACCTTGAACGGTGTAGATTTAGCTTCCGTGAAGGGTGTTAATGTTGGCAATTTCGGCAAGAAAAATTCCGTTATTAGCATAGATTCCGTAGACGAGTCCCATGCTGGGAATTACACGTGTTTTGCTGAAAACAGAGCTGGGACAGCTAGCTTCTCTGCTAGTTTAATAGTTAAGGGTACGATTTTTTATAAAATTAATTTCTTTGTTTTTGTTTTGTATGCCAGTTCCCCCTCGTATCACCCCTTTCTATTTCGAGGACAATCCCCTTCATTCTGGAGAATACGCACAAGTAAATTGTTTGGTCGCCACAGGAGATTTACCTCTAACTATACAATGGCTGTTAAATAGGAAAAATTTGAAAGATTATCCAGAAGTGTCGGTTACGAAAGGAGGAAAACGTAGTTCGATGTTGACAATTGAATCTGTCTCCTATTTGACTGTGGGAAATTTCACTTGTCAAGCGAACAATTCAGCTGGAGAGTCAGTCTATACAACAGAACTTTTAGTTAACGGTTAGGATTTATAAAGTTTACATACATTCTTTCCTGAACTTTTTCTAACTTTTTCCTAATTATTCCCATCCAGTTAAAATTTATTTTACATATGTAACGTCTATGGGGACAAGGATTTTAACAAAAATAGAACAAAAACCAAGTGGCGCATACAAGATACTGTGTCTTCTCCATCTCCAAGTAAGAAGCATTACGGTACAAGCTTAAAATTATGCGCATGCAGTGATGACGATAAAATTGTCGAGTATGTGAAATAAAATTTCATGCACTCTGTCATAGAAGGTCTCTTCTCTGAAAATTTAAACCTTCGTTTCGTTTTTTCCAGTTCTGCCCCGTATAGTTCCGTTTAGTTTTGGTGATACCGCCATTTATTCTGGTCAAACGACCCAAGTGACGTGTTTGGTTTCCGAAGGCGACACTCCCTTGGTCTTAACGTGGAGTTTCGAGGGGAATTTCATAGATTCGCAGAATGGTTTTAGTACCACGAAAATTGGCCAGAAAGCGAGCCTATTGCTCATAGACTCCGCAACCGAGGAACAAGCTGGGAATTACACGTGTACCGCAAAAAATAGGGCTGGATCTGTATCTTATACCGCCGAGTTGAACGTTCATGGTATTCTTTTGTTCTTTCTCAGGTTGTGTTGAAGGACTTGCCCGTGCTCGAATGTCTAACGTCACAAATTTATCTTTTTGCACTGTAACTGACGTATAACGGTGGGAAAAATCCCAGCACCGACCCTTCTGCTCCTCTCTCCTACACCTTCGGCTGGGATTTAGGGTTTTCCTGTTATCCAAGTTCCCTGCACTCATTTTTTTTCATCTGTCTTTTTCGTTGGACTATTGCATGCCTTTCTTTTCTGTTGTCACTAATTTTATTTTGTGTTTTCTCATTTCAACTGTAACATGTAACATGTTTGAATAACGAATACGATGTTACATGTTATACGAAAAGTGTTAAATATTTAGTAGTATCAAAGTTGTTTCAATGGTAACGAAAACTAAAATTTTTCAAGACTGTGTTAATAGTGACATTAGGCGTAGTTAATAGACTAGGCGGTATATGTTTTGGTTTGGGTGAAATTTTTGGCTTTTTGGTTTTCAAATATCACTAGAAATGAAAATTTTTCTATGCGCATAAAAAAAACGTGGGCTTAACTTTTGGCTGGACACTATGTTAAAAAAATTCGAAAAATGTCATATTTTTCTTCCTATTTAATTATGTATCTTTTCAAGAGTTGATTTTAGGCGAAAATGGAAGAGGAAAAAAATGTTTGTAATTAAATTTTTTACAAAACATGACTAGTTACAAATCGAATGAATCATGATTATTATGGTAAAAATCGAAAAAATCGCAAAAATGGGGTTGAAAAACAATACTTTTTAGGGAATTTTTTTGGTATATTTAAATTGGGTACAGGACCTTTATACTTGGCTCAAGAAAACTTCATGTTATGTAGAATCATCACACCAAATTTCATCAAAATCGGTTCGATAGATTTGCATAATAATTTTGCAATCCAGATTTTGAAAAAAAAATTGCAAATTTTCAAAATTTTGCACAGCAAAAACCAAGGCCCTTAGATACTTGAAAATTTAATCACATATAGAAGGGCTCTCAAGCTTTCAAACTTTTTTTGAAAAATTCGAATCCGTCAATTAGGAGAGCTCTGGCGCTTGTTTAAACGTGAAAGATTCTTTTTTTTAATATTATTTTTTTTGTGTGATTAAAGTATAATTCAATTATTATTTATTGTTTAAAATATAAGCAGATGAGAAATTAACTCATTATATTACTAATTTTCGTCATATTTTGAAAATAATTGTTGTTTAAACAATTTCAGAATATTTAAATAAATTTGTTTTTGATCTTTGATAAATATAAGTTTATGCACTTACCTTTGATACAATAGAAAAATAAAGTTGATAAGTAAAGGAAGTTTAAAAATAAATACGCTAAAATTAAAAAAAATCATCAAAATCGGACCTCTAGATGGTGAGATATTAAAAATTTTTAAGCGCATCGCGGTTTTGAACTGACGATTAAATTTCGAGCAGGCCGAAGCGGCCGCGCTCTCTGCTTCCCCCACCACCACCACTACCACCCGTACGATTTTATTGAATTTCTAGCTTGCATAAATAACTTTAAACACGTTTTAAAGTAGGTTGCCAATGAAGAAAAGTATAGTAATCTTAGACCTGGTAAGTACTCGGAATACCAAAGGTATTTTTCGAAAAATTAGCCCGGTTGTCCTAGTACATTTAGTGTAAATGACGGTTAACTTTGATCGGCTATAACTACGTAACTAATTGATCAATCGATCTGTTTTTTCGAAGCGTCTTTCCAAGAACTTTTAAAACTTGCTTTAAAAAATTTGATTTGATTGAATATTCACAAAGTTACTCTAATTGTTTATAAGTACAAAAATTCGACCAATGTTTAAACAAGCGCCAGATCTCTCCTAATTGATGGATTCGAATTTTTCAAAAAGCGTTTGAAAGCTTGACAGCCCTTCTATATGTGATTAAATTTTCAAGTATCTAAGGGCCTTGGCTTTTGCTGTGCAAAATTTTGAAAATTTGCAATTATTTTTTCAAAATCTGGATTGCAAAATTATTATGCAAAATCTATCGAACCGATTTTGATGAAATTTGGTGTGATGATTCTACATAACATGAAGTTTTCTTGAGCCAAGTATAAAGGTCCTGTACCCAATTTAAATATACCAAAAAAATTCCCTAAAAAGTATTGTTTTTCACCCCCTTTTTTGGGTTTTTTTGGTTTTTTCCCTTATTGTCATGATTCATTCGATTTGTAACTAGTCATGTTTTGTAAAAAATTTAATTACAAACATTTTTTTCCTCTTCCATTTTCGCCTAAAATCAACTCTTGAAAAGATACATAATTAAATAGGAAGAAAAATATGACATTTTTCGAATTTTTTTAACAAATTGTGCCGCCCAAAGTTAAGCTCACGTTTTTTTTTATGCGCATAGAAAAATTTTCATTTCTAATGATATTTGAAAGCCAAAAAGCCAAAAACCTCCGTGGATATACGATTCACCCAAATATGGCTTTTTGAAACGGATACCGTCTGGACTATGAATATTGTGATGATTTGTAAGATTTTACAAACCCGTTAAATTATTTGTAATTAACTGAATTTATTATTTCATGTATTCTATATTACTTTAAATTTTATATTAATTCATTTTCATTGTATTTAACACTTTTCTAGCATTATGCACAAAGTAAATTTCAATTCGGCTAATAGTGCATGTTAATAAAACAGTTGACAGTGTCCAGATCACAGATAACAGTTTTTTCTCTAATATTAATTTTATGCCGTTTCTGATTTTAATGAGTGATTTGGACACTCGATCAATTTTTTTTCCAAATTACCAAAAGTCAAGTAACAGCATGCTTAAACAATTTAGTAAAGCAGAACGATGGTCTGACCGTTTAAAAATTTTTAGTGCCTCCGAGGTGGATCTTAGAACCTACCGATAAAGCGTTTGCGCAAGGTTCTGATGCCACTGTCGAATGTAAAGCTGACGGCTTCCCCAAACCCGTTGTTACCTGGAAAAGGGCTACTGGTTAGTAAAAAGCATTATTCGATGTTAGTAAAGTTTTAATCAATGTTTCCTTCTAGGGGTATCGCCTGGCGATTACAAAGACTTTAAACCAAATAATCCAGACATTAAAGTTGAAGATGGCACTCTTACTATTAATAATATCCAAAAAATAAACGAAGGTTACTATTTATGTGAAGCTGTGAACGGAATTGGTTCTGGGTTATCGGCCGTCATTCTGATTAGCGTACAGGGTAAGCTGCGTGTTTTTTTTTAATGTTATCCTTTAATTATTTATTTATATTATATTTTTTAGCCCCTCCACAGTTTGAAGTAAAATACAGAAATCAAACGTCAAGGAGAGGCGAACCAGCCGTACTTCAATGCGAGGCTAAAGGAGAAAAACCGATCGGTATCTTATGGAACATCAACAACAAACGTTTAGAACCAAAAGGTGATAACCGGTACACGATCAGAGAGGAAATTCTACCAAACGGCGTCCTGTCGGATTTGAGCATTAGACGAACCGAACGGTCCGATTCCGCTCTTTTCACCTGCGTTGCCACCAACGCTTTCGGAAGCGATGATACCAACATTAACATGATCGTGCAGGAAGTACCCGAAGTCCCTTACGGTTTGAAAGTTCTAGACAAATCCGGGAAGAGCGTTCAGTTATCGTGGGTTTCACCTTACGACGGAAATTCTCCAATCGAGAAGTACAACGATGATAGTTTATGTGATTTTTCGTTTACTTACACATAATATTGTTTGTAGATTTGTAATCGAGTATAAACCAAGCAAGGGAATTTGGGATAAGAACGCCGAAAGAGTCTTAATACCCGGAGATCAAACCGAAGCTGGCATTTTCACTTTACGGCCCGCCACGACGTACCACATTCGCATCATCGCCCAGAACGAGATCGGTTCCAGCGACCCATCTGACACCGTCACGATAATTACTGCCGAAGAAGCTCCAAGCGGACCACCAACGAGTATCAGGGTAGAAGCCGAAGATCAGCATTCCCTCATTGTTTACTGGAAACCACCCCACAGAGACCAATGGAACGGAGACATTCAGGGATATTTCGTTGGATACAAACTGGCCAACAGCGACAAACCATATCTGTTTGAAACCGTTGAATTTTTACGTGAGGATGAAGGCAAAGAACACCACTTGAAGGTTAGGTGGTAAAATATATCTGTAATTTTTTACTGTATTTATCTTCAATTTTAGATTTCCAATTTGAAAACTTATACTCAGTACTCCGTTGTTGTGCAAGCGTTTAACAAAGTCGGTGCCGGCCCCACCTCCGAAGACATAAAGGCGAACACTGCGGAAGGCGTGCCCGAACAACCCCCAGAGAAAGCTACCTGCACCACTCTGACGGCACAAACTATTAGAGTTTCTTGGGTTTCTCCACCACTCACCTCTGCCAATGGCATCATTAAGGGATACAAAGTGATCTACGGACCTTCGGATTCGTGGTTTGGTAAGAAAAACATCGTTACCTTAACGATTATTGTCTATTTCTTTCTTAATTTGCCGCAGACGAGAATACCAAGGACACGAAAATAACGGCATCGAGCGAGACGATCCTCCACGGTTTGAAAAAATACACCAACTACAGCATGGAGATCTTGGCTTATACCTCTGGAGGAGACGGAGTACGCACCACGCCAATCCATTGCCAAACGGAACAAGACGGTAAACTAAACGGGGAAGAAAATAAATTTCCTTCGATTAAAACGAGTTTTTTCAGTGCCCGAATCCCCAACAGCTGTCAAGGCCCTTGTTATGTCTTCCGATTCGATCCTGGTGAGCTGGAAACCTCCAACCGAACCCAACGGCATCGTCGAGTACTACATGGTTTATTACAAGGAGGCCGGAAATAGCAATGAAAAACCAAAATCTCAGAAGATCGTACCTAACCTCAAGAATCAGAACTTGAGCTACCAGGCAAAGAATTTGGACAGCTCCCTCAAGTACGAATTCTGGGTAACAGCCGCCACCACCATCGGCGAAGGACAAGCCTCCAAGAAAGTTACCGTTTCCCCTAGTACTAGCGGTGAGTTGACGTATATTTCAGTGTATTGTGTATTCTCTGCGAGGGAATTGTAATGTGCTGTTCATTTCGCATAGTGTTCCAATAATATGTTCAGCCTTGGAACATTCGATTGTTACAAGCGTCTGTCTTTGTTTATTGTGTACTAGCAGTATAATTGTATGTTGTGAGGTGCTTACTGCTTATAATATGTTTTACATCTTTCTATAAAATTTTCTCACAGTTCCCGCGAAAACTGCCTCTTTCGACGACACATTCGTCACCACCTACAAGGAAGATGTAACCCTCCCCTGCTTGGCTGTCGGAGTGCCACCACCCGTCATCACGTGGAATATTAAGGGCGTCAAGTTCTCCACCAACTCGAACGACAGGATCAGACAGCAACCTGACGGTTCCCTCTTCATTCGCGACGTGACCCGTGGCGATGCCGGCGAATACTCCTGCCGTGTCGAGAACGACTATGGACAGGATTCCGTTACCCACCAGCTCATAGTTAACGCCCCACCTAATGCTCCCATCGTACAACTTACCTCGACCACGACCAACTCCTTGACGATTAAGCTTAAACCCCATGAGACGGACGGAGAATCCATCCACGGCTACACGATCCATTACAAACCGGAATTCGGGGACTGGGAAACCGTCCAGGTTGGTCCCAACGTCGACAAGTACACTATCGAGAAGTTGATGTGCGGCACGAGATACCAGCTTTACGTCACGGCTTATAACAGGTACTTTATTTTTTTTATAATTTACAAAAATTTCTGTAACCTCATATAGTCCGATCAAATTAGATTTTTATGTGTCAAAGTTTAGTTCAGTGAATAAAAACACAAAAATTAGGAAAAATTTCGTAGAATCGACGAACTACTTTCGTACAAATTTTGCAAAAAACATTTTTTTTCATTAAAAAAAAAATTTACATTGTAGAAAAACATTTTTTTTCATTAAAAAAAAAATTTACATTGTAGAGAAAAATGTTTTAGATAAAAGTTGTAGAACATTTTATAACAAAAATTTTGAGCCCAGTCCGATGTCAATTGCTAAACAAATGTATTAGTTGCAAAAAAACGGCTAAAGTCCGAATTTTTTTAAAACTTCTGGATCTTTAAAACGAAAAAAGATTTTTTTTTACTAATTTTTCAGAGTATGTAGTCCTTGGAAAGTAGAATAAGTGCATTTTTGTAAAATTGCAATAATATTTTATAGTTTTTGCAAAAATTGATTTTTCAAAAAAAAAAGACTTTTTTTTAAGAGTTGTACTTCCCTGTGCAAATTATGCACGTATCACAAAAAAATTGGAAATAAACGAAAAATGTACCGAAACTTTGACTTCTTCTTTCGGGTCGAAAAATGTAGATTTTTTTTCTTATCGTTGAAGTTTCATTGGTATGGTATTATTGCCATTTGAAAGCTGACATTTTTTCACGAATTAAAAAAAATGTCTTGCGACCAAGAGAAACCGTAAAAAAATTTTTTTGTTTACGTGCCTTATACCCGATAAAAATTTGGTACCCGGCCAAGTTTTTAAGTATAGGCAACCAATAGAGCAAGAAAAGAGGCTGTTTTACACTTAAATTAAATTTCATGTATTTCCTTTTGAAAAATATTTAGTAATTGAAAACGCAAGTGATTTCCCCAGCAAAGTCACGAACAATTATTTTTTGCAATAGAAAACAAAAAAATTACATTTTTTTTGTTTTTTTTTGTAATATTTCACAAAAATAATGAAGGAATCGTCTTACTCTCAATAGGACTTTTGTAGAGAATAAAAAAAACTTATAAAATGTTTTTTTGTGTGACTCGATCAGTTCATTTTTTACAGAGAAAATCCGGAAAAACCTCTAAAATAAACCCTTTATCAAAAATTCATAACCGTCAAATTTGAAGCTGTCCAATGCATAGTTTTTGCACAATTGCATTATAAACAAATTAGGGTCTTTTTTGCACAGCGTGGCAAAATGGTCGGATTTAAATTCTGAAAACGGCATCTGAAACTAGACGACAAAATCTCCAATTTATATATTTCGGATTTTCACCTGGGTGATGGGGAAATATGCTAAAAATACCCTTGAGTCGCCCGAAACCATCGAAAGTGTGGAGCACACTTTCGATTGTTTCTTTAAACTACATATTGGGGGTTTCCTGCCAAAAGGACGTATCCACAAAAGTGCCATTTTGGGTTTATGACATAACTTTGATATCCAATACCATAAGTTTGTCGTGACAAAAAGTCGTATCTACCTACCACACCAATAATAACAGCGTCACGCAATCCTTTTCTTGGTCGTATGAACAATTATTATCTCGATTAACCTGGCAGAAGGTTGTATGTATACGTCCCTTTGTAATGAAACTGTACATACTTAGTCAAGTTTGTACCTGTTGTTCTCAAATAATTCGCTAAGCAGATAATAATATGCGATAAATATACTAATCAACAGTTACGCAAGGTAAAAACAAACTCTTAAATTTTACTACTGATTTTTGAAACGTTTTTATTAGTTCCTGAAAAATAATGTTTTGGTTGATACGCCCTTCTGTCAGGAAACCCTCGATATTATCTGTCATTTTCCACAAGATTGTTTTTCCAGCTTTAAATTTGACGGAGTTATGAATTTTTGAAAAAAGGTCTATTTTAGAGGTTTTTCCGGATTTTCTCTGTAAAAAAATGAACTGATCGGGTCACACAAAAAACCATTTTATAGGTTTTTTTTTGTTCTCTACAAAAGTCCTATTGAGAGTAAGACGATTCCATCATATTTTTCGAAATATAAAAAAAACAAAAAATTTATTTTTTAAGTCGTTTTTATTGTTTAAAAAAAAAATTGTTCACGACTGCTGGGGAAATCACTTGGGTTTTCATTTACTAAGTATTTTTCAAAAGGAAATACATGGAATTTGCTGTAATATTTAAGTGTGACAAAAAATCTCTATTGGTAGGCCTAGTACCCGATACCCATTACCAGTCCAATAGCCGTAAATTGTCCATGGGTATTCAGGTACCCGGGCAAAATTTAGTGTCCCGATCATAATTTGAAGTACTTGATTCCTATTAATTACTCGTTAGCGGTTAATTACCCGTTGGGTATCTGTCTACCCGATCTAAATTTTGTATCTGGTCATAATTTTAAGTATCTTAATTACCCATTAATTGCCCATTTTCCATTAATTACTCATTACCCGTTAATTACTCTTTACATGTTAATTACCTGTTGCCCGTTAATACTTGTTTGGTATCCAGGTCGTAATATTAATCACCCGATACCTGTCGATTATCCTTTCCTCATCAATTATCCGTTGACCGTTAGGTATTGGATTACCCGATTAAGATTTTAAGTACCTGATACCCACTAATTTACCCGTTAATCGTTAATTACGTGTTAATAACCTATTAGCCATTAATTACCCATTAATTACCCGTTAAGCGTTATTTACGTGTTAATAACCGATTCGCCATTAAATAGTCGTTAACTATAGCCTATATGTAATGTTGCCTTCGAGTTATAATAATCAGTTTCTGGTGTTGTTAAAGCCAAGTTTACATTTTTTTTCTCTGTCCTATTAGTTTATTTTCACTAAAAGGTATTAGGGTAATTAACGGTTCTTAACGGATAAGGATGATTTGCACGTGAGCGGATTCCTAATGGGAATGAGTAACAAATTACTGGTAATTAGCGTATTTTTACAGCATCGGTACCGGAGACCCGTCCGACAACCTCAACCCCAAGACCCGCGGCGAAAAGCCACACATTCCAAGCGCCGACCAATTCATCGAAGAGTCATCGAACAGCATAATCCTCCATCTTGGCGCTTGGTCCGACGGCGGTTGTCCCATGCTGTATTTCGTCATCGAACAGAAGAAGAAGTACTTTAGCTCAAAATTTATTATTTAAAGCACTAACGCGACATTTTTAAGGTCGAGCAGCGAATGGATCCAAGTTTCCAACAACGTGAAACCGGGCCAGAACTTTGTCCTTCTCGATTTAGACCCAGCCCAATGGTACCACTTGAGAGTTACGGCCCACAACAACGCAGGATTCAACGTCGCCGAGTACGAGTTCGCCACGCTGACTGTTACCGGAGGTAGGATTGACTGTATATATGTATATAAATGTGTGTGTGTTTTAATTTTTTATGCTTATTTGTATTTTCTATATTTTACGTACACCCTTGTTTGATGACGTTCACTTCAGTCATTCAAATCGTAAAAAGTAAAAAAAAAAAATTACAATTATTAACACACAGCTTCCGCTTTAAGTACAGCAGTCTTTGTTATTCGCTTTGGCTGACGTCGGTGTTTTCTTTATTATGAAACACTGTTGGTGACTCTCGAAATTAACTGACTTACCGCCTCAAAAGGTTTTCACTTGCCGACAATCTACAATTTTCTTCCCAATAGAGATGCAGGATACAAGTAACGAAATTTTCCGCAAAATTTGCAAGCCGTTTGACGTGTTCAAGTTAACTTTTCCATCTGCAAAGACCAAATTCGACTTTTACATACAACGGAAATAATTTATGATTTTTTGGACTGCCTTTTCACATGATGTCGTTAATTATTTGTGCTAACGATTATGCGAGAAAATTGGACGTAAAAAAAATTGAAACAATCTTTCACGATTTTCGAACTTTGTAACTTTAAAAAAGCGAGCTTTCCTAAAACGACGCTCAAAATCGGTCTGCCAATAAATCTTTGTGGGTTACGCCTAGGCGCCGACGGTCAACTGTTTGTCATCGTCCCAACATAAACAACGCCTACTCTGACTGAAGTGAACGTAATTTTTATGATTTAAAGTTTTATTGATTTTATATTTTGTTATGTTTGCAGCACATGTTTTATACAAAATATCGTCGTGTACATAATCATCAGTATCAGTAACGAGCACCCAAAAATTATTATTTGCTTGCAAATAGCAATAGTACCTGAATATAATACATAGCGCTGCAAATCATTCTTATGTATACCATTTTCCATTTCAAATTTCATCCAAACTAAATCTTCCTTAGACTTTCTGGTAGACTCAGGCAACATGTTATAATTCATGTGTCAGGTTTTTCTTAAATCTTCAGTTTCGTTAGTTTTGTATTTATCAAATTTTTAGCTGTTCCTTGGTTGTTAAATGTTTTTATGTAGACTTTTTTGAGCTGACTTGAGGTTAAGATTTTCGGTAACGAAAAATTATACGGTTCTAGTCAAATCAGAGCAGAAAGGCTTGGTTTTTGAAACATATTTTTTGAGTAGTTAATAAATGTTTTTCCTGAAAAGTACACAAATTACAAAAAAAGTGTAAAATTAATTTTATAATGGTAGTTTTAAATTTAAATCCATATTAATTTGAATTTAAATAATTGTTTTTTTAAATTCTGTGAATAAAAAATTTCCGTGGCATATCAGTGTTAATCTACAGGGTGTCAAAACTTATCGGGCCTCAATATTGATCTTGGTTGTCTTATGATTATTTTTTCTCTTGTGGCCGCCAAATTGAATTTTAATATTTTTTTCAATTTATCTCGTTTTTCTGATTATGACAATAATTTTTTTTTTGTTTTGGTCAAACTACCAAATTATTCATTTTTGCATACATTGAAGAACTTCAAATTAAATTTTGACAGTTCCGTTAAATTTTCATTGAAATTATCACAATTTAAATAACTAATAATACAATTTTCACATGAAGTACGAAATATGTCTGAATTAATTCATTTTAAAGGACATTTTTAATTATCTAAACTTTGACATTGTCAACGAAAATTAAACTGAACTGTCAAAATATTTTGTTTTCAAAGCACTCTTTGTAAAAATAGATAATTTGGTATTTTGACAAAAACAAAAAAAGTAAACTTTGTACGTCATATGACATCATCATAATCATAAAAATGCACAGAATTCAAAAGTGCTAAAATCCCAAATGACGCCTCTTGATAAAAAATTGCAGTAACGCATATCAAGATTGTCAAATTTCTCTTCAAGCAAGTTATTTGTCGTTAAATTCAACATTCCCATGGTGCGACACGAGAAACGGACAATTATAAAACAAATTAAGCTATAGTATATTTTATTAAATGTCTTGAAGATACAATTTTGGAAACGCATTACCAATTTCTTTTACTTAGCCACTTAAAAATGTATTACCACCAAAATAATCAATATAATATTATGCAATGAACATTAAAATTAGGTCATATATTAAAAATACCCAGAATGGCATCTGTAACAGTTACTTTCTGTTATGCGTTTGACTTTCAATATCTCTTTTACACTGATAGTAGCCGCAACTAATGCAATATCGAATAAAGAAACTGCTAATACGATTTTTAAACATTAGTTCAAAAAAAATTATACCAGAATGTTTTGTAAAAGTTATAGCTTCCATATATACAGGGTGTCCCGAAATTCATGCAACAAAATTTGGCCATATATTCTTAGGAAAAATTTAGGGGACTCGTATTTTTTCTATTTGCCAACTGGCCCCCTCTTTCGAAGTTACAGCCCCCTGAAATATGTCCCTAAGAAGTCTTTTTTTATATCTCACAACCATGTTGTACGAGAATCAATAAATTTGGTACACAGGGGTTTTATGACGTGGAATCTCACATTGCTACGCTTTTTGGCGAGAAACCCCCTTAAGACACTTTTTCGTGGCCCCCTTGTCTTTGGAACCAGAAAAATTTGATCGCAAATTTGATTTTTTTAAAATTATTAGTTAGCTAGAAAGCCATTGAATTTAGAAACTTTTTTGTCTCTTGATATTTGTTTCGTAAAACACAATGTTTTTGAGGAAAACATTTTGACATTTTTCTCGAAAACATTGCGTTTTACGAAAAAGTATAAAGAGACAAAAAATTACTAAATTTAATGGCTTTCTAGTGTACTAATAATTTTTAAGAAATTTAAATTTGCGACCGAATTTTTTTGGCTCCAAAGACATGGGGGCCCACGAAAAATTGTCTTAAGGGGGTTCCCCGCCAAAAAACGTAGCACTATCAGACATGTCATAAAAACCCTGCTTACCAAATTTAATGATTTTTGTACAACAGGGTTCTGAGATATAAAAAAAAGATTATTCTTAGGGCCGGACTTCAGGGGACTGTAACTCCGAAAGAGGGGGCCACCTGGCAAAAATAAAAAATATGGGTTCCCTAAATTTGTCTTAAGAATCAAATTTTGTTGCTTGAATTTCAGGACACCCTGTACATGTCTACATAAGCCTACATCACGAATAGAATATTTGTACTTCATTTGTTTTTTTCTTGTATACCTATAAAATCAATACACCCTGTTTGATTAAAGCGATTGAGACGCCCTCTACATAATAATTTGTTATTACAATTCCATTAAAACGTCTATACAATATAGATTTTCCTGAAATTTTGAAAAAGGTTTTTTTATTTGAGACATTACCTACAAAGAATATGTCGTATCTTTAGCGTCATTACTAATCGATGCCTACTATCATAAAGCATTACTTTGTACCTACTGGTGTAGGTCATTCTCTGAGATATAACCTACAAAGTATATGTCGTCTTAATCGTCATTGCTATTCAATGATTACTGGCGTAGGTCACTGGGAGATATAACCTACAAAGTATATGACGTCTAAAATGTTATTGTTACTGCCTACTGGCACAAAGCATTATTTTGCACCTACTGGCGTAGATCACTTTGTGAGAAATAAACTGCAAAATGTTTATAACATACTTTGTAGGTTATTTCTAACAGGGTGACCTACGCTAGTATATAAAAAGCAATGCTTTTTCCAATAGGTTTTGTGTAGCAATAATGTTTAAGATATGACATACTTTATAGGTTATTTTTCGCCCTGTGACCTACGCCAGTAAATACAAAGTAATGCTTTGTGCCAGTAGGCATTGAGTAGTGAAGACATTTAAAACATGACAAATTGTAGGTTATATCGCCATTAATCATTAATTAGTAGCGTATCTTTGAAGCTGCTTCTTAACAGTATATATTTTATTAAAAAAAAAAACTTAAAAGTTCTAACCTCAAGTCAGTACTTAGAAATTATGCAACTATATAGCAGTTGTTGTTGTAAAAACATAGTATTTAAGAGATTAGAGAGACTTAGTTGAGTATAGTATATATATTTATAACATGATGCCAAAAATTGTACAAAATTCCGCCGCGTGAACTATCTATTTTTTTATGGTTGCATAATTAACTAACCGCACTACGCCACGGTAGTGCTACCTTGTAATACCCGAGAGCTCGGTAGTTTGAACCGGAACCTGTTGAAACACCCCCTGTGTTTTGGTTTCAGGTACTATTGCCCCGGCCCGTGAAATCCCAAAAGAGGACACCATACAAATAATCCTCGCAAACCTTAACCTTGTAGTTCCCGTAGTGGCTGCCATCTTGGTCATTATTGTTGCCATTATCGTGATCTGTGTGTTGCGTGGCAAAGGAAACTATAACAAAGGTACAGTGAACTGTATTGTTGTATTCTAGGTACGATCGCGCCCGCCAGGGACATGCCCGCCATGAAAATGCTCTTCCCCTGGATCCCAGACTGGGTCGACTGGAACATTGCCGTTCCGGTCGCGGCCACCGTTGTCGTGGTCGTTGTGGGTATCGTTGTCATTTGCGTGGCGCTTTCCAGGAAAGCTCACGGGCCTCTCCAGACTAGGCTCCGGAGCGACTGTATGTGTATGGCCCTTTCTTCACACCTCATCTTTTTTTTTTTGTTACGTTTCCGGCTAACCTGTTAGGCGTATCAGTCGCGCATCCGCTGTAGGCATTCCGAGGGACTTTTCGTTGAAAATGACAAGGAACGGCAAATAGTAAAAACGAGGCATTATTAAAAAAGCCGCTTTATCAAAATTTTAAACAAGTCGCAAATATATTTTTGCCGTTAATTAAGCAATACAAAATTATAAACTATTTACTTTTAATATACAGGGTGTTTTGAAAAATGCTCCATAATGTCCAGATAACATATTTTTTTTATTTGGTGCATTTTTTTTAATTTTGAAATATGTCGTTCTAACGATTTTTTTTTGGATAAAATTTTGAAACTATTGAAAATAGATTTTTTCAGAACTAAAAAAAAGAAACCAAATTTACATGGGAAAAAAAATTGTCTTATTTTCTGATATTCTAGCAAGCTGTGGATTAATACACCTTTTTTCGAAACACTCAGTACAACAAAACCTCGACTTGTCATTTTTAATCGAATACTCCCGAATTTTTACGTTTTGCGTTTCAGCATCTCCATTTTTATCACGTTTTCCTCGTCGATATCGAAGCTGAACGCGCTTAGAATAATTATTTCTCGTTTAGATGACGTCGTCTACAACCAGTCCTGCAACGCCACCTCCACCCTTGACAAGCGCCGGCCCGACCTGAGGGACGAACTGGGATACATTGCCCCGCCCAACAGGAAGCTGCCTCCCGTCCCCGGTTCCAATTACAACACCTGCGACCGAATCAAGAGAGGTACCTTAAGTAAGACCATCACGGCTTCTTAATCGCATGCCTTTATTTTAAAAATTATGTTTGGTTCAGTGTCGATGCAGACCCGTAAGTTGAACGCGGGGAAACTATCGGTTCCGTTGAATTTTTTTTACTCGGGCCGAACGATAGTCTCCCGGCGGTGGAATATGAGAGTAAATGCTTCCATTTCAACACCATTGCCTCGCTTCAGTGTTAGATTTAGTTATCTTGTATTTTTTATTTTTTGCCGTTAAGTGTTTTATTAATAGCCTTATTAACGCAGAATACGAGCTTGGTGCGATAGATTTTACTTTTATTTTTTATAATTGTACATATAGGGGCACATTACCGTTCTCATTCCACTTGGGACCCCAGACGTCATTTATATGAGGAGTTGAGGAGTAGGAGGGGCTCAAATGAGACTGTTCATACTCATAGAGGTAAAGATTTTCAGATTTTGTAGAATGGTTTTTTTTTTTACTTTTTTTTTTTTTTGTAATCGAGCTTCTCAGTGCTTTCTAATAGGTAACGACGTAACGAGTGGAATGTTGGTTACGATAAGTTATTGTGTTTTTTGTACTACTAATTGGGGATGTTCCGATTGTTTGTATTCGCTTTCACAAGCAAGTGAATGTTAAATTCGCATTCACGCGAATGCGTAAACCAAAAAACAAAGTTTGAGAAAAAATATTTCGTTATAATAAAAAAAATTAATTTTCCATTTAATATTTTCAAGTTGGCCTTGGTTCGACCTTGAAACTTAAGGTCAAAGTTAAATCCAAGGTCACCAGCATACGGTTTCTTGATATACTACAACTGTTTTATCTGACTTTTTTTTGATAGGGTTCATTCTGAAAAGTCTTGGGGGGGGGGGTAGTTCAGGTATTTTTGGGACACCCTGTATATTGGACCTGATATACAAGTAAAAAAATTGCAAAGATGGTTATTTTAAGAAGAAAAGATCGTATCGACCTATTTTATAAACAGCTCAGTTTTCGCGATACAGTGCGTTTTTGAAAATTATAACATGTACAAAAATATAAATGTCTTTAGTATTTTTGAATTTTGTTGGGGATATTGCTCCTAAAAGATTGAAGTTCCTAGCCCAGTAATTTTTTTTTTTTTGTATTTATAACAAAACATTTTTCTGTGAAATTCATAAAAATGTGACAAATTTCATTTTGATTAAAGAAAAAAGCTCTCTTTCGCATTCGTACTCATGAATATTAGAAATCCCGCATCCGGAACAACCCTGCTACTAATATCTACATTGTAAAATGAATGATAAACTGTCTTCTATACTTTAAAAAAATTCTGATGACACGGAAAATGGTATGTACAATGAGATAAGATTAAGTGCATTGCATTAACTTATTTTTAACGTTTTCGTTTACTTGCTTAAATTTATGGTTATAAAACAGTAAAAAATAATTAAAAACCATTATTAAGTAATAAAACCAAAGGAAAGGGCATCCATTTTTACTCTGACGCAAAAATAATAGTTTTAATGTTTTTCCACGCAACATCACGCATACAATTAGAATCGAAGGTATTGATTTGAATGTTGTAATATTCTAAGAGTTTCAAGTGCTGCCTGCCGTTCTGTGGTTTGTGAACTTTGCACTTTACACGTATTGTAGTACCCAGCTACGTAAACCGCTTCATTTTTGTATTGGACGTAGCTTACCTTAAGAAGAGGACCAGTTTTCTACATTTGCCAATTATTAATCCAACAAATCCATTAATTGGGCAAGTTATATGTTTATAATCAATCGTGGAAACTTTATTTTTTTGGTTCCTTGTTAAAGTTATACTTTGTAGTAGGTGCAAAGTAATATTTTGTGCCGGTAGGCATCGAGGATCAGTGACATTTAAGATATAAAGTAACAATGACAAATAAGATATGACATATACTTTGTAGGTTATTTTCCGCAGAGTGGCCTACGCCAGTAGGTACAAAATAATGCTTTGTGCTATTAGGCATTGAGTAGCAATGACATTTAAGATATGACATATTCTTTGTAGGTTATCCCTCACGGAGAGACCTACCCCAGTGGGTTCAAACTAACGTTTTGCGTGAATTTATTAACCAATTTTGCTGAGCCTTGGTGACTTCATATTTGTTCGGGCATAAAATTTATCGTAGTTTGTTATCGTGATTTATTTCAGCCTCTAAATGTTATTTATTGCAACATATAAAGACGTGAAAGAAATACATCAAATTGTGTAAATTTCTTGGCTGATTTTTGAATTTTATTGGGTGAAAATTTGGTAAATGTTATAAAACAGGGTTTAATAGATAAATTTTCTTGATTTAGTTCCCGAGATACTGTATATATGCAGTAACTGTTGTTTATACAGCTTATGTTATCACAAAAAAATAAAACAGGTATTGTCAGCATCCTCTAACAGCATCTAGCATCTAGATAGGTATTAAGTTGGGGAATAAGTTCTTCGGTTTTTTCATCGGCGATTCATTTCTCAACATTTTTAACTAAACAGCTAAAAGTAGTTCAAACGCACAACATATAACGCAAGCAAATACGGGGCTTTTAAATTGTATATAACTTGACCCGTGCGACAATTTTGTAAAAATAAAAAAACTTGTAGAACTTATTCACCAATTTGTTGGTAATTAACTAAAAAAATTGCTTCCTTCAAGACAAAAGTAAGTCTTTTAGCTTCTTTGCTGGCTACTTTCTTTTCTCAGCATGTTACTTGTAGCTAATGCAGCATCCATTATTAATAACTTGTGACACCTGAGTGAATGAATATTTTTGACAGTCATCCCAAACACCCGTCTGTTAAAATGTGTGTATTCCATGTTTAAAAAAATAATTTTTATACGAGTTTATTTTCTTGCCTCTTAGAAACATTTGTACAATATTCGACACACTTACAGACTTCGAGTGTTTGGTTACCGTTCTGTGTTTAACGCGTAACACATACGTGGGAAATAAGTGGTTTTATTTTAAAGGCATGGACGATGAAATTTGCCCCTACGCCACTTTCCACCTCTTGGGATTCCGCGAAGAAATGGACCCAACCAAAGCCATGCAATTCCAAACCTTCCCCCACCCACACGCAGGAACGATGGGACCATCCGGAATGAACACACCCCACGGACTACACTCGCGTAATGGATCACAATCGATGCCCCGCCAAAATAGAAACCGCTACGATAGAGTTGGATCTCAAGGTGGGAGAGATTTTTCAAACTTAACTCGTTAGAATTCTCGGTTTTAATGCTTTTTAATTATAATTATCAGGCAACGGAAGCATTTACTCGCCAGGCCCCGAATACGACGATCCAGCCAATTGCGCCCCCGAAGACGAACAATACGGATCCCAGTACGGCGGCTACGGAGCTCCCTACGACCAATACGGCAGCAGAGGTTCAATTGGACGCAGATCTCTTGGTTCCATGAGGGTACAACCAACCAGCGGCAGCCCCGAACCACCACCCCCACCACCACGCAACCACGATCCATCGTTTAACGACTCGAAGGACAGCAACGAAATTTCCGAGGCGGAATGCGACAGGGACCAGCTCATCAACAGTCGGACATACGGCGGTAAGCCCTAGAGAATTCCATTGCTTATTTTTTTTAATTCCAAGCTTTAAGGTGTAAATAACGCGTGGATAATAACTTGTATATAATAGATAAATGAAAAGCGGCGGGTTTTATTAAGTTTTATTATTTGTAACTGTCAAAGATGTAAGTTTTTTCATGTCCGTTAGGTCGATTCACATTAATTGGGTAATTCGTATAATTTATTGATTGTGTCATAAACGTTATGGTAATTTGTGATAGATCATTACCACATATAATATAAAATCTCACTTTTCTTAGTGCGATGCTGCCAGTTGTGGATAGAAGTCAGTACTTAATTTTGCTAATTTAATAATTTCGTCGACTATTACAAGGTTATGTTGTTAAACTGAATTTTAAATAATTTTGTATGTATTTGTTGAGTGTTTATTATATTTCACATTATGCCGATGACTTAAATGACATCGTAAATTTGAGGTTAGGCGGCAGCGATAATCTTGTTTCTAGTGCCAGATCGGTGCGTTGCAATAATTATTGTACTATTAAAAAAGCAATGGTTTATGTATTTTTTGGTTCACCTGGAATTAATGTTGGTGCAAGTTTTGATGTTCGACAACTCCACACACTGTTATTATTTCATCCGAACACAAATTTGTCATTCATATTGCTTTATAGAGCATTTATTGTGTAACTTTGTGAACATAACTTGAAATGATTCCACTAGTTTCATATAATTGGTTAGTGATAAGTACGCACATAGACCTGAGTTTGGGTGCTGCCCAGTGACGGCGTAGACAAGAGGTTTAAGTGCAGTTTAAAAAACAAATTATACTTATAATTACTTATACTACTTTGTCCTTTTTCTTTTTTTGTAGTAAACAGAAAAAACATTAGTTCAGTTTTAGGTTTTAGTTTGAGGTTTTATAATGTAGGTGGTAATGTGTAAATCGGCAGATAACCATACATTTACTTCGTTTCATCACGTTCAGTGCGAATATAAAACCTGCCGTTTAAGTTAAAGGAATGAAAAGTAAAAATCGAATCTAAAATATCAATATTTTTTCAGAAGATGAACAGGGTAAGTGAGTTGTGAGCGTGATCTATTAGTCTTTCTAGATTAGGTTCTTCAACTCATTACATCATCGTCATTCATTAACATTTCACCTTTCGATTCGTGTTGCATGGTTTCCGATTTAACATAAGGTGGTTTAACTGCATGCTGGTGACTAATGTTTTATTTTTTTTTTAATTTTGTTTTGCATACGTCACATAACTCCAATGAAAAATTGTTTTGTTAATATTCGTTCGTCATTTATTTTTACGAATTTATTTTTGTTCCGTATGCGGAAATGTATGTTTTTTCTCCATTATATAATCATAGTATTATTTTGCACTGAAGGATTTTTGCAGAAAAAACAATTTTGTGTTAAATTTTCGTTTCTGTGTTGCACAATTATTGCTTATATACGTATACAGGGTGTAACTTTGAATAGGGGTCGTATTTATAAGGTCCACCTTTGACTTTTAGTAACACTCTTAAAGTCTGTTCTGAAAACTTCATTTGTTTTAACATTTATTTGTAAATTTCATATTCCGCCTCCGAACAGGCTAATGTAAACTCAAACAGGGCATGCGTCATTGTTTCTTGATTCGTATACATGTTTTTATACAGGCTGTTTCAGATAGTACGACAAAAAATAAAAAATTTTTGTCTTATGAACTATATGTCTATCGCCTCTTGTTTTCGAGATACAGAGTGACAAAATACAATTTTTTAAATAGAGTTTTTACGAAAATTTCCAAACGGTGGTCTAATTTTTTTGAGGTTAGGTTTTTTACCATTCGGGCTCCAATTTCTAATATACAATTTTCTTTTTTTAAAAAATAATGTACTCTTGTTAGAACTTCCTAATGTGGACGGTTTTTGACAAAAAAGGTTTTTAATTGAATTCTTGCGGTGTATAAAATAAGTGACTTTTCTCAAAATAGGCTTATGTCAAAACTTATTGATGGGTGTCTAATAAACAACGCATACATTGTTAATAATATTTTAAACTCTAATTAACTTTATATCAAAATTTTAGTGATTGTTAGTAACTGTAGTTCATAATGACTAATTACAGTCACTAAAATTTTGATAAAAAGTTAATTAGAGTTTAAAATATTACTAAGAATGTATGCGTTGTTTATGAGACATCCATCAATAAGTTTTGACATAAGCCTACTTTGAGAAAAGTCACTTATTTTTTTATACACTGTAATATTGTAAGAGTTTAATTAAATGCCATTTTTCTCGAAAACCGTCCACATTAGGAAGTTCTAACAAGAGTATGTTATTTTAAGAAAAGAAAATTGTACATTAGAAATTGGAGTCCGATTGGTAAAAACCTTAACCTTAAAAAAATTAGAACTTAAAACGTAATAGGAATGTAATGTAATAATAACTAGCGCCCTCTATGAAATATACAAAAAACAATTATACCACCTTATTTGGCATCATTAAAAACTCCAGAATACCAAACTCCATAGAAATATTTTGCACCGTTTGGAAATTTTTGTAAAAATTCTATTTTAAAAATTTTATTTTGTCGCTCTGTATCTTGAAAACAAGAGCAGATAGACGTATAGTTCATAAGACAAAAAATTCTTATTTTTGCTGCTTTTTACTGGAGGTCTTTTTGAAACAGCCTGTATATCACACTTAAATTTAACAATGAAGACACACGAACATGCCACATCATCACTAAATACCACTTTAAATTTCATTATAATTGCTAAACTAGGCAAATTAACTTCCATTCTTGAACGCAAAAGTACCATTTCGCGTTCTAGATACAAAAATAACTATTTTTTATTTAGGGCTTCATCTGCATTGAAATAAAAAAAATATTGGAACTAAACAACACGTCACAGGATTATACAAAAGCAATCTGTTTTTACAAAATTATTTTCCATTCTACGACTGTTAATTCTGTTAAAAAGGTAACAACGGTTAACACTGCGTGACGTCATAGACAAGAGTCGACTATTTATTTGAAGATGTATCATTTAACTCTTAAAGACTGACCCTCACTGAAGTTACACCCTCATCGTCACTTGCATCGTCAGTTTGTCGTATAACAGCAACAATTCAACAATCATAAAAAAAAGTCTTGTTATATGTACACTTCTCAAATTGCATCCTCTTATTTGTTTTGCTGATTACAAGTTCGTAATACACATCGTAAATATTTTGATCCCACTGTATGTTTTTCATTGCGAGTTGTTTATTTTAATATAAGCTAGAAACTGTGTCGTTTTTGTGGTCGTGTAGTTAAGTGTGATTTGTTTTCAGTTATGAGAGGTAACTCAAAGGATGGCATGACCCACGAAGAAATGCGCAAACTGATTGAGAGGTCAGTACTTACAAACAATGCATTCATACCCACGCTACATACTTAATTTAATATGTAACATGTCATTCATGTCATTTACTGTTTGCAACGATTTTCAGTCACTGACGGTGCCATTGATTTTAACATTTATTCCAGACGAATAGAAAACTTGAAAAAATTATTAGTAGACATTTTTTTGCACTTTACGACGGAAAGGGTATGTAGAATGATAATATTAAAAAAGGGAACTCGAAAGAAGTGACGCTAAGTTGGCAAATTGCAAATAAGTTGCAAATTTATGTATTTGTTCATTTATTTTAGTGCCCATGAAAGAAAAATTTGAAATGTTGAAATTAAATAGCTCTTTACAACTAACAAAGTAGGACATGGAAGATAGCATTAAAAACAAATTGTTCCAAGGTCGAGGAAAAGCCGCGCGGGAATTCACTCTTTTTGCATTTAATAGTAGTAATTAAAAAAAATATGTTCACAAGATTGGTTTTTTTTTTATAACGTTAATTGTTAATTAACTATTGGGCAAATCGGGCAGGGATTTTAGAAATAATTAAAAAAAGGGTTAAACTTTTATTTCCAAAAAGTTTTACATTGAGTGTTTATGTAATAAACACGCTAGCAGCAGTAAAAGTTAACGTTAATAAACTGTCATCACGCGGGAGGAGCGCGAGCCCGCGCACGCGAGATTTTTTAACCGAATTTTAAACGTTCAAGTAAAATAACTCACGCGAGAGCGACGTTCACACACAATGTAAAACTTTTTAGAAATAAAAGTTGAACCCTTTTTTTTAATTGTCTCTAAAATCCCTGCCCGATACGTCCGATAGGTAATTAACAATTAACGTTACAAAAAAAAAGTTATCTTGGGAACAAAGAGGTGTAGGTGATTCCCCTTTTTTTTTAATTCCTTAAAAATAAGCTCTATTTAATGCAAAAAGAGCGAATTCCTGAGCAGCTTTTGCTTGACCTTGAGCAATTTGTTTATAATGCTGTCTTGCACTGCACGTCCTACTTTGTTAGTTGTAAAGGGCTACTTAATTTCAACTTTTTCAAATTTTTCTTTCATGGGCAGTCAAAAAAGTGAAAAAATACGTAAATTTCCAACTTGCGTCACTTCCTTCGAGTTACTTTTTTGATATCATTCTCTATATCCTTCCCCGTCATAAAGTGCAACAGAATGTCTATTAATAATTTTTTCACGTTCAAACTCTAATTCGACTGGAGTAATACTTGTAATTAATTGTTAAATAAGAACTTTGTGTCGGTAACTAAAATTTTATTTGCCTTCTAAAGTAATTGCACAAAAAAATTCGATTTCTCAAAATTACAATTTCTAATTTTCCGGATATGAAAAATATTTTTTGAAACGTTTAATAAAACAGTACATAAAAATGTTTGCTATTAAATTACCCAGACAATTTTTTATGTGCTGTTAAATCATCATGTCCATAACTAGTGCTACAATTTAAAATGAACTCGTTTATTTCATGAATTCCTCTCAAGCAGGAAACTGTAAGTCCGCACTGTATTAATGCTTCTTTTTTTTTTTGTGTGTGTGTCTTAACTTTTATGTTCCTTTTTTGTTTTGTGTTCCTAACATGCACCTAAACAGAGACTGCAATGCATTTTGATTGGTTCTATAACGTTTTTTGGTGAAGATTTTCGCTTTAATCGTGTTACCTGTACGGTGCCTTGGTGTTTGCATTCTATCTTTTTTTAGAAACGAAACAGGGCAAGCCTGCGCAGCAAACGGGGGACTCACAGCCTACGATACTATGGCAGTGTAATCTGTAAGAAGACAGAAGATGATACGCCCTTTCGTTTTTTTAGACATCACACCTTGACATTTTTCGACTTAGTTGAAGCTTTCTTTATGAGCGGTCCGCCCGTAGGTGTGATTACTAAAATAACGACCCTATTTGTACGGGATATTCGCACGGATTCGTCGAGACTGAATATTTTTGGATTCCATGACTTTTTAGCACAAATTAATTTGAAATCTAAGTTTTATGCGAATGTCTCGTACAAGTACGCATTTTACTTTTTGAACCAAATATTTATTTAAGTTTCTGTTGCGTTGGAGGCCGCTATTACGAATACGTACACATTTCTGCCAATGTTTCTTGGTGTTTATACGATTTATTGTGTTTGTTGGACGGTGGCTCAATGTGTCATGTGATATTTTCCGGTTCGTAAGTGTTTCTTTGAGTTGTATCGAGCAGGCGTTTGTTTTCTTTGGTCTACAGGTGGTGCCAAAAATTTGTAAGAAGCGCGCGCGTCCCCACGAACTCATCATACTGTAGGCTTAATTTTTTTTTGTATAGGTAGCGTATTGTTTATTTCGTGCTTTATTAGATTGTTTTTGTTTCCTGTTTTCTCGTGTAGTTATTAGTGCGGTTGGCGATATGGTTTAGTTATTTTTATTGTACTGTACAAGTGTTTGAAGGTTGTGCGTCGCCAACTTGTAATTATACATATAAATGCTAACGCAGAAAATTATATATATAGCTTTGTGTAGGGCGTTGACAGTTTGTTAAGTTCCGTGTCCATAAACTATTTTTCTGGTTTGCATTTATTTACACAAACGTCGGAATTTTCGGGCTGTCAACGTTTGCACTTAATTTTTTTCGTTTCTCGTAGATGAAATTAGGAAGATATATATATATACTATTTTTAGTTGCTAATTCATGGAGAAATATATAAGTGTTTTAAAATTTACAGAATGCATGTAAATTATATGTAGGTATTTTAAACGTTTCGATAACACGAGAATATGGGTTTTTTTTGTTAAGCGACATACTATTGATGAATTAATACTCAGCAGATATTAAAATGCTTGTATTTACTTTTAGGATGTTAAGATACCTGTAGTTTTAGGGCATATTTTTAAGCGTTTACCATCATGGTGGCATTTTAGACGTTACCCACTGAATTGATTCTGCGACAAAAGTCTTACGAATATCTGGGTTGAGATATACGAATTCTTGTAGTTTTCACAAATCGGCATGTACGGAAATGTGGAAGAGTAAAAAATTAGCATTACTTCTATTCCTTTGAGGATTTGCCTTATTTAAGTAGAATCGTTTGTTTCCCTTTAAGCCTGGACTTCAGACCCTCTTACTCTACCAAATTTTAGTGTGCGAAGCTACAAGAAACTTTACTTTCAAGTTCCTAAAGTAGTTTGCTGAATTCTTTGTAAAGTACGTTTGTTTCTATAATAACCTAGTCATTTAACGGAAATACTATCACACCCGAACAACCACCGATTCAGGAAATGGCAAATGATATTATTTTCACGATAATGGTTTGAAATGCCATTATATATGTATCGTAAGTTATAAGTGTGCTATATATCCGATAGTCTTAAGAAGTGATAAGTATAAATATCTTACTGTATCCATAATCATTAATTTCAGCAATATATTTAATCTTTCTATACTAATCATTTTTGTACACACTTCCTTTTATTGTAATATTAATTAATTGTAATTTTTTTGGATTGTGGTGTTGCAAATGTTTAGAGTGTGTTTTATACAAGTTTGCCATTTTACGACACTCTAATTTCTAAGTGCTTGTATACCAAAGTAAGTTTTTTGGTTAAATATACAAATAACTAAATTATACTTACCCGTCTTTTATTTAAAATCCCTCCGTACATGTTCCAGTCTTAAATATATACCAAACTGCATCTGTCTCGTGCTAATAAGCATATAATAGAAAGAACACTAAGAAAATCAACTAATATTTCATCAAACTATTTTTTTCTTAATAAAAGGTAGATGTTCCAATCTTAAAAAGTAAATAACGAGCGTTCAAATAAAAACGTGGTCAAGTTGGTTCTGAAAATTTGGACGTAGGGCGTAGCGTATAGCAAATGAACTTAAACGTCATCTGTCAAAGCGCTATATCGCCGCTATCAATTTGAATATTTTCGTTTTAAAAAGCGTTTAAAATGGTGTTTTCTCAAGAACAAAAAGTGTTTATCATAGAGTCCTACTTTAGAAATGGACGCAAGATTGATGGAATATGGAAGTATTCTATTGAGGAATGTTTCATAGAATTTCAAAATCAATTTCCCGGCGTTGTTGAGTACAAAATTTTTCAAAGTGCAGTTCAGCGTTGTGTTAATGTTTTTCGTGAAACGGGCAGTGTAACAAGAAAAGAAGGAAGCGGCCGACCTAAAAAGCGGACTGAAGAATTAAAAGAAAATGTCCAACAAATAATGGAAAATGCGCCAAGAACTTCTGTACGTGTTTTATCACAAATGGTGGGAGTATCAGTCGGTACCTGCCACACAGTGTTAAAAAAAGATTTGCGTTTGTTCTCCTATCGTTTAACTTGTCAGCAAGAACTTCATGAAGTTGATTTTCCGCGACGGGCTGTATTTTGTGAATGGTTTTTAAACAACTACGGTGAACTTCATAATATCACCTTTTTTTCTGATGAAGCCTGGTTTCATTTAAGTGGTTACGTAAACTCACAGAATATGAGAATGTGGTCTTCTGAAAAACCAGATAACTTTTTTGTCGAGGGCCCTCTACACGCTCAAAAAATTGGAGTTTGGTGTGCTCTCAATCGAAGGAGGATTTATGGACCTATTTTTTTTAATGGTACTCTTACTGCGCAAAGGTATAGAGAAGAAATTATCGCTCCTTTTGTTAACCAGCTGGAAGAAAACGAAATTACAAACTTTTACTTTCAACAAGATGGCGCAAGGGCACATACGGCAGGCGAGACGATGAATATGTTGAGGGAAGTTTTCCAAAATCGACTAATAAGTCTCAATGCTGAACATGAATTTCCACCGAGGTCATGTGATATTACGCCGTGTGATTTCTTTTTGTGGCCTTACCTTAAAAACACTATTTTTGAACTGCCTATTCCTGATTTAAACCATCTGCAGGCTCGACTTATAGACAAGATTCGTGAAATTAACAATACCCCGAGCATCTTAGAAAATGTCTTTAATTCTTTGAGGAACAGGTGTGAAAAGTGCTTGGAACAAGGAGGGGGACACTTTCAGCAGCTGCTTTAATTTATTGTTATAACAAGGAGGGGGACACTTTCCGCAGCTCCTTTAATTGTTTGTTATTGTTATCACGATTATTCTTTAAAATAAAGTTATATAGTCATTAACGTTATTGAAACTGACAGCTGCTATACAGCTCGTTGAGAAATGAGGTTAAGTTGGTCGCTATAAGCTACTCCCTACGTCCAATGTGTCAGAGCCAACTTCGACCACGTTTTTATTTGAACGCTCGTTATATTGTTACAAAATAAAACTAATTAATGCACAAGTAACGGACTTTCCTTCATTCTAATGCAGATTTTCTATAAAATGGAGTTAGTTTGAAACTCAGAGTAAAATTTTGTTGAATTTGTCCTCAATTTAATTCTAATTTGTTTTATCTTTCCACCAGATTATTTTATTAGTAAGTGGCGCCATCTATCCATTATGAAGTACGTAGTAGTTTATGACATCTGACCCATAGATGGCGGTCGTGAAAAATATTTAAGAATAATTTATTAGAAAGCACTAAAATAGACGTCTATTAAAGTTTTCCATTAATGTAATTAGCGTTCATGTCGAAAAAACGGAAATTTTTATTAAAATATAATTTTACTAAATATATTCACTTAAAAAAAAAAATGGCATCAGGAGACTGTGAAGTGAAAAAGGTTTAATAGACAAGGATAATTATGGTTAAATAGCACAAAATTTCAATTTTGCCTTAATTTATAAAATTAAGTTATCCTGATCGATCCAGTTTCCAAAGGACCCCGCACATTTTTTATGGAAAACGGTCTTCCGGTGAAATTTGCTAAAAATTTGGGAAATTGTTCGTTTTGTACCCCTGATCAAAAGTGTCAGTGGGGTCAAAGCTCAAAATGCCCATCTTTAGGCTCTACGGCAATTTTTAGTGGCCAAAAACGGCAAAAATTCAATCAGTGTGTCTTCTCTGTCGCTTTATTTACATTCTTTCTCTAGAAATCCGCTTCAGTTATGAACTGCGAACTCTTGGAAAATCTTTGGCAACTCTTGGGAACTCTTTGAAAAAATGCATGAGAGTTCCGAGTTCATTGAAGGTTATTAAAACCACAAAATAATATTGAGACGGTGTGTATTAAATCTTGTATAATTGTGCATTCAAAAACCCTCCCACACATACATATACACACATATAATTAGAGATGGACATATTCCTACATAAAATACTCGCACGTATACAATTTTATGAAAACTTAAGGGACTGTACAAGCATTAAACATAATATTTAAAAAAAATGAATTTTTGCCGTTTTTGGCCATTAAAAATTGCCGTAGAGCCTAAAGATGGGCATTTTGAGCTTCGATCCCATTGACACTTGATTAGGGGTACAAAACGAACAATTTCCCAAATTTTTATCAAATTTCACCGGAAGACCGTTTTTCATATAAAATGTGCGGGGTCCTTTATATGAAAATATATTCACATAAAAGTAAAATTTCGGTATCAGGAGACCAGGAGCAGCAAAATACCTTCTCAACCTTCTGTTATCTTGATCCGTCGAAAATGCAGGGTTTGTAGCAGCCGGGAAGTCAGGGAATTTGTTATTCTTCAAAAAAAATAGGTAATAGTCGGAGAATTTAAAAAATATTCATGAGTCAGGGAATTTGATGTTTGCAACTGGAAATTTTGAAAAAGCCGGCCCTGGGTTCTTGAAAGAGAAAACTATTTGTGGTTTTAAAACCTTTCTAAGAGGTTGTCAGGTTATAAAAAAGATTATGGAGTTCAGTTGAGAAAAAATTTAATGTATAAACACCAATTAGTATGTAAAAATGAACTACAAGTGGCCTTTTTTTATATTGAGACGTTTTTGAAAATCAACACAAAATGAAAGGAACAAAATTATAATATTAACACAGAAAAATTTCAAATAAAGTCCGAAAAAGAAGCATGTACACAAGAAAAGCAGATCTAGTCAATGAAAATCCAATAAAAAATTTAAAATAGTTGTATAATTGAACCAGTAAAAACATGATATGTAAATTTCCTAAGATAGAACGTTAATAACAGAAATTTCATATCTAAAATAGAAGCAAAACCAAGAAAGTAGCGTATCAAGTTAAGATAGATAAAATAAGTTATAGTTAAAGACATAAATAGAGAAGACGAGAAAAGAGAAATGAAAAATCTTTATTTAAAATCGCCACGGTAGCGCAGTCGGTCGAGAGTGCGGTGGCAAGCATTTCTCGGCCGGACTTCCTATTCTGGTCCGGGTTCGATCCCTGGTGTCGGCACTGGCAATGTCGATGGATAAAGGATGTTTGTCCGCGTTTTTTCAAGTGTAGCCCCCTTCCGTACAAGCCTTTGGCTTTTGGATTTGGGGGTTGTCTCATTTCTGTGGTGTGTTTTATGTTTTTTTTTTTAAATTAAAAGGGTATTAAATTATCAGAAATTTCAAATTAAGATGACAGTAGTTGTCAAATTTAAAGGCAAATCTACATGACATGAGACAAAACTCGGATTTAGAAAAAAGGGAAATAAATGATAGTAACAGTTAAAAGAAAATTAAATAAAAATAAAGGAACATTATTGTTAGTTTAGGAAATTTGTAAATAGTAAGTAAGAATTAGTTAAGAAGTGAGTGGAAGAAACAGAAATACAAAGAGAAAGAGAATGAGTGAAAGTGACATAAGTATTATTCATATGGACAGACCTTTAAGAGGGGAATAAAGATATTTTCTGAAAACGGACCTTCACCCAAGCATAGTCTTTTCAAAAACTACACTATTTTCTGAGAAAATTATATGTGGCCTATATAGATAAGGTATTGAGCTAGGAGTTGACATATTTTTTATTGCAAAATAATTTGTATTATTGAAGTTATGGTTAAATAAAGTATAATAATAAATTGAAATTTTATTTCATAGATCTTTATTATAATTTTACATCTCCTTCGTACTGATCTGAGGAACTTACCTGCAAAATATTAGACTGAATTATGCAGTATTACCAGCAATGTCTAGATTTTTGTGAAATTATTTCTTTGGTAGCCATTTATTTAAATGTCATTAGTAGAGATACGCACCAAAGAGAACAGAACAACAAATATGAATGTTTGGAGCTTCTAGTCCAGATGGAGCCAGTATCAAACTTAACCATTGAAATTTTATGGCTTATAGAAAACTGTAAAACATATTTTAATTTTTGACTTCGTTTCGCCGTGACTGAATATATTTCGCAGTCACAAAATGCTCTCATATTTGAAAAATAAAAATATGACGGAACTAAGGAAATACGTCTAGGTCTAGGTTTGCCAAATAGATCATCATATATCACAGTATGTAACCATATCAGTAAGAAATTCTTAAAGTAATAAATTAATAAATACAGCCCTACCATACCTAGGTTTGTTTTCTGAAAAAGAAATTATCTTGGAAGAGCATAAATGAACAGTAGATAATTGCGCCCGGGCACAATAAACAGATCCCGACTTTTAGTTTTTATACGGTTTCAACTATCTTCGTAAACACCATACCTAGGCATATATTGTTTTCTGAAAAATAACTTATTTTTTTGGAAGAACAATAATGATTATTAAATAATGTTTGAAATTCTATGCTTTTCTGTGTGGTTTTT